ACTGGATCGTTTCTTGGCTTACGAGCAGTTCACGGAACGCTGACTGCACCCAGACGAATCCGTTGACGTGTTTCTAGCTAACTTGAAGAAGCTAGCAGGTCTATTTGGTGGGATATCTGAGCAAGGACTAGCGTGTGGGTTCATAGCAGGGTTACCAGCGCACGTCAAGCAACTACTGCGCACATCTTCCAGGCTGGAAGACATGAATACAAACCAACTGTTGGACCAAGCTTGGACCATAATGAAAAATCAAACTGCAACTGAGGAAATGGTTGCAGCTACCATTTCTCCAGTCAGAGCTGATAAACATCTAAATATTAAATGTCGGGAGGGTATGCAATGCTATCAATGCTCTGGGTGGAATCACCTTTCCAGGGACTGACCGGTTCAATGAGAATATTCCCGTCAGCCATGCAGGTCACGCACAACAATGCGTTGCTTCCGGTGTCAAGAAGTAGGCCATATTGCTTCATTGTGTCCAGGAAAAAGAAGGAGGGGACAAGACGTCAGCACCGATTTCTTCCCTAAGCGAGTTATGAATGAAGCGCTACCAGTCTTGGGTATTTACGTGAACGGAATTAAGAGAGTGGCACTGGTGGACACTGGCTGATCACAGACGCTCGTGAATAAGTCAGTCTGTCAATCCTGGTGGGTGACGGAGGTGGACATACTCACCATAAATTGAAATACCCTCAAATGTTGCAGAGTTGGAAGTATTAAGCTTGATGTGGACAATGCAAACCCCCTCAAAATTGAAGTCTTGGTAGTAGATGGAGAGCTATTGGGTTTTGACTTGTTGCTTGGGTTTAACAAATAACAGAGTGTGGCAATGTACGGTTTCCCAAGCGTGGGATAGTCTGTTACACCACTATTAAAATAGAAGAACCTGATTTCTGTGCCGAATTCAATCCAAACCAGAAGATATGGGTTGCATCACGGAAGTGGTCTGATGGTCGATCACCGGAGAATTTGCAAAATCGGATGCCCGAGTACCCAATACCAACGGGAGTCAAGGAGGAATACGACTGTGAGCTGCAGACCTGGCTTGATAACGGTTGGTTGCAGCCTTATCCTGAAAAGGAACTTGGTCCTCCAAAAGGTTTAATTCCGTTGATGGCAGTGGTGCAGAAAAACAAAAATAAAGTGCAGCCAGTATTAGACTATCGAGATCTGAATGAGTGTCTTGACACACACACAGCCAATGCTGACATGTGCGCACAGAAACTGAGGGAGTGGCATAAAAAAGGACCGGATGTCGCTATCCTTGACCTACGGCAGGCCTATCTACAAGTACATATCCATAAGTCACTTTGACCCTTTCAAACTGTAATCTTCAAAGGGCGAAGATATTGTTTGACCCAAATGGGTTTCGGGTTGAATGTTGCACCAGCCATAATGAAGGCCATTGTGGATGCCGCATTGGCAAAAGATGAGTCAATTCGACAGGCAACCTCATCATATATTGATGATATTTATGTTGATGAGAGCATGATTTCAGTAGCTTGTGCGATGGAGCACTTGGCTGTGTTTTGTTTGACCTGCAAGAATCCGGAGCAGTTATGGGAGGCACACGTATGCTGGGTTTGCATGTTGAGCAAGATAACAACACGCTTAAGTGGAAATGTGAAAATGACATTCCATCAGTTTCTGAGGTCCTGACGCGGCGTAACATCTTCTCATGGTGTGGAAAACTGGTGGGTCACATTCCTGTTTGTGAGTGGCTTCGTGTTGCTGCATAATTTGTAAAACGCAGGACAGTATCGATCACGTCTGGTTGGGACGACGAAGTGACAGATGCTCCCCTTAAGAACATGATTGAGGACATAGCGGAAAGAATACACCAGAATGATCCTGCACACGATAAGTGGTGAACAAGCGGACACGCTTATGAGGTATGGGTCAATGCAAGTTCTCTCGCCACAGGGGTTTTGTTGGAGGTTGACGGAAGCATTGTAGAAGGCGCATGTTGGCTGCAGCCTGCGAAGGACGCACAACATATCAATTTATCAGAATTGGATGCAATTCTGAGGGGCGTCAATTTAGCACTACAGTGGGGTGCAACGGAGCTACACCTTTCATGGACTCTGTGTGTGTGCACCGGTGGGTGCACACACACATGCTCACTGGCAAAGCCAGAATACGAATTAAGGCAGCAAGTGAGATACTGATCAGGAGGTGTTTGAGTACTCTTGAAAAGCTGATTCAACAGTATAACTTATTGTTTACGATAAGTTTAGTAACGTTGTATGAGAATCGTGCGGATAAGCTCACCAGAGTACCACAACAATGGTATGATGTGATCAAGAAGGAAATCAAACCAACATGCCCGATATGCGCTTCCATGATGAATGAAACCTCTCCTGATCAGATACATGCCATACACTGCCAGAGTGGACAACCTGGCGTCAGGCGAACACTGTATTTTGTGAGACGAGTTTACCCTACGATTTCCAAGATGGCCATCAAGGCAGTGGTCAGAAAATGTAAAGAATTCCATTCAACTGATACAGTCTCAAGTCATTAGCCTCATGGCAACCTAAGTGTGACTGAAATCTGGACCCACTTAGGAATGGATATTACGCATTAAAGTGGGCAATACTACCTTACGTTAATTGATTGTGGCCCCAGTCGATTTGCGATATGGCGACGCCTGCTTCAACAAGACTCAAGAAGCGTCATTCAACAGTTGGAAAGTATTTTTTTTGAATGAGGCCCACCATCAGAAATCCTGACTGACACTGACACTGCATTTCACAGTAAGTCCTTTAAAGATTTCTTGGATGATATGGGAATCCAACTTTGTTTTCACTGCACCTATGTTCCTACAAGAAACGGTATAGTGGAAAGATCTCATCAGAGCATAAAGAGAATTGCAGCAAGAAAGCAGTGTTCAATAATGGAGGCAGTATACTGGCATAATATCACGCTGAAGGATGATATATCGTCGACTAATGCGCCTGCCAATATGATTCACCGTTACCAACTGAAAGTAAAGGGAATTACTACAACATTACCACCTGATCATTGTAAGTATCACGATATATACAAAGTTGGGAACAGAGTATGGGTGAAAGATCCCCATGGCCGATGTACCTCCAGGGATCAAGTGGGTCACGTGACGGACATTGTAAGTCCACACAATAATAGTTGACGGGATGCCATGGCATATAAAAGATCTTCGCCTTTTCATTGATTCTGATACATTGCTAAGCGAATCTGATGATGGTTCGTCGTCTGACAGTGATTGGATAATTGAGATCTGCAAATCTGATGCTTCCACAGATGCAGAGTTTCTGGAAATTCAAGATACATCTGATGACTCCTCAGGAGACAACTCTCCGATACGCGTAAGGGAGATTGTTCCATTACGACGATGGATAAAGAGAGCTGCTCCAGGCTATTCGATTTGTGATAATGAGATTGGGGGGAGGGGGAGTATAGTGAAGAAAATGGCGACTTACCTCGTCAAACCAAGTGACAGCATGTCGCATGTACCTTATGACAGAAAATGTGGCGAAAAAGAAAATTACTTACCAAAAAAAAGAGTATGCATTTTGCATGACATGCTGAAGATGGAATGTTTAAATTAAAAAACAAGTCCGTCACAGGAGTCACTATAAAATATTTTGATATGCAAAAATTGAGCATCCTCTCCCAACTGTCGATGAATGGAAAAATGCTCGGCCAATAAAAGCAGTTGGTGTTCTTGAATTTGGGAGAAAATTTGGGTATTTTGGCTACCGTGTTTGTTGGAGAGTGAGTTATTTTTCTGACTGGTTGCATGCATTGTGATTTGTGAGATAGTACCTGTGAATTGAGTTTTCGGCATTTCTTTCTGTTCCCGATGTTCGAGTCTAAATTTAGTGATTTATACTCTGCGTTGTGGAAGTAATCTGCGACAAATATTTCCATTGCAATCCCAGATCACTTACAATTTCATTTATTAATCTTGTCAATATTGAAATCGTCTAAGGCTGATATGTTTATGACAATCACATCTGGTCCTGTTTCTTTCTTCCTGTTCATCTTAGCCAGTGCTGATCTTACCTCAAATTTTAATATTTCAGGTGTTTCTATATTTTTGTTTATTGTAAGTCTTTTGTAATGGAAGAGTTTTCAAATGTATTCATTCTATCTTTGGAATATTTTTCCTTTCTCAATTATGAGTGTTCCCTCTGAATATTTTATGCATCCTGTTGAGGGGCATGTCTTTTATTCTTCCTTTTATTCCTTTATGCATATTTGCTGTATATGATAGTCATTCTTTCTTTCTCTGCACAATTTTCATCTTTTACCTGCTTGCCTTCTATCAAATTTTGTTTTCATCAAACTTATTTCGAAAATAAAATCCAAAATGAATTACTTGAAAATTACTAATCAAATAGTATATAACATAAAACTGTTGATCAGGAATAACTTTATCTGCTTGTAGGAATTGAAGCTAGAGATTTCAGTTATTAGTGTAACTTAGCAAATAGACCAACATTTATTTGATGCTAAGCACTGTATCGCATTGTAAAAAGAATTTAAATATTTTTGTGTATATGTAATGTAAATAATTTAGATCTATCAAGAGAAAGGAGAGTTAAATTAAGTGGAAGTGTTGACATTGCAAATTTTTTATATTGAATTTAATGCACATTAATTACTTAGAAAGTATTACATTAAGAAATAATAGTTAACCAAGTGTCATTTTCTGCTATCTGAAGAGAGAACTTATATCATAGATTAGATTTGTTATCAGTTAACAAAATACAATTGAAAGCAAGCTTAACTTTTTCCCCACAAAATTCATTATATATTTAAGTGAAATTTGCTTGGCTTGCTGGAACCTTTCCTCCAAATTTCAATAAAAGAAAGCAGAAGATATTCCTTTGTGTTGAATAAATATTGAGATGACATGCAAGCATTTTCTGGAAATATATGAAAAAAATTGAGTGCTAGATTACTTATTTTTCTTTTTTTTACTGTTTTTTGTCATAGACAAATCTGATTTTTACCTGCCACAAAAATCTTTCCATCACAAACTGTGACACCAGCTCCTGCTCTTCTCCGTTTTAAACTTGGTCCAAACATCCATACATCTTTTCGTGGGTCATATTTCTCAACAATATTATAACTACATGACCTGTCTTCTCCACCTGAAATTGAAACAGAAAAAAATCTAAAATAATTTTCTTTCTCTATGTATGACAGTATATAATAATACAAAATATTCCATAGCCTGAGGATATCTAAACATTAAAAATATTATTAAAATGCTCTTCTTCAAAGATAGATATTTGTCTAATGTAGCCTATGTTCATGTTTATTCATGTCAACTGACAAACACAACAAATCACAAAAGAGAAAAAAGGACTTGATCAAAAATAACTAAACAATGGTAACAATCATTATCCTCCTGTTGAAAATGAAGACTATAGAATAAGCATGTGTTGGTAATAATAATATTGTGACTGATGATGACAATAATAATGTAGTTGAAGTAATGAAAGGCAATAATGATTGACTGATTTGTTTTGTGGCACATCAACCCAGGTGGATTATTTGATGCCAAAGAAGGTTTTCAGGTGAATAATTAGAGTTATTTTCTTTTGGAAGCAGGAGATTATGTAGGAGAAAAATACCTTTGAGATTTTTGGGTGGTGGAGGGGAGAATTGTAGGTTGTATAAAATTGTTTATGAAAGGCAATAAGGAAGAAGATGATTGTCATGTTGTTGTGGAACCATTAAAGAAAAATAAAGTGTCAGTTGGACAACACTTTTAAGTTTTAATGGATAAACTCTGATAGTGATGAAAATATTTTTGGCAGAATACTGAGTACAACTAGGAAAGCAACTGGCAAATATAAACTTTTATGACATTAAATATGATTTAAATGACTGGACTGGTTGGGTTAATTTCAATAAACTTAGTGATTGGTCAGTTGTGCCTGATTAATTGTTGATGATTGTGATGTTAAACAGTGAGTAACTAAGATGGATCTTTACTGAAAAGATAAGAACAATGTTATTGCAAAAGCTAAAGTGGTAACCTGTGGACTTGAGAAAGACACAGTCAATTTATGTAAAAATCCACCAACAAAATATTTCTAAAAGGGCAAGAAGGGTCAACATTATCCAGTTTATTTGAAAAGTAGGATGAATTGCAAAATCAACCTTATCTGGTGAGACATTAGCATTACTTGGGTGTTCAGAGAAAACATTGCCTGTATCGTCCAGGAGATATCTATTCACTTGTTAGAATTGGTTTCATGGTGGATAACAAGGGCTTGTTAGGTGATCAAGTGCTGAAGACATAAGAATAAAGATTACTGTTGCTATTCTGTGAGGCATGCTAAATAGGAAAGAGATAATTCACATTTCCTGGTTCAATGCTTTACAACAACACAGTCTTGCCAAAAGAACATTTAAATATTAGAATTTATACTTGATTAACAATAATCATTCTGGCATGGCTTAATATGAAAAAGTGCTATTTTTTACATACTGTGCAGTAATGATTTGGGAAAGGCATGAATCCACTTGCCTCTTACCATATATCTTGACAAAATGTAACAACACTAGTATCTCCCAATGGTTAACAAAGAAGAGAGAAAACTAATACAACTATTTTATTAGACTAGTCAAAATTCAACAGAGAAAACAGTAGCTAATTGAAATGGTGGACTCTTGGAGATTTTGTAAACTGTCAATATTTGCAACCTACTATGAGATATGCCAGTTTCTCAGTAATAGCTTGGGAAGCAATTGGTCAGTGCTTCTAGAATGTGTTAGAAATATCAATTCAGAAAACTACATATCCATTTTGCAGGAACTACCAATATTCACTACTAGTTATTTGAACCAAAACAATATCCTTTTATATTAAATTTTATATTATTTCATGATTTCCATGCTATATAGTTAAAAAAAGAAAAGAAAAAGAAATGTCAGACCCACAAAAGGTATAAAAGCAACTTCCATAGCAAAGTCAATTTCATGAAAGGAGTTTTATTTGATGTGTACTGAACATGTTGGTTCATGAAACAAGAAAAACATAAAAAGAAATGTTCTGTGTGTTTTAATGTAGTTTCATAAACATTTGATAACTGGTGCGACTACTGGCAGCTTTCTAATAGTGTATTAGTTAAGAGTAAGTCCTCAATCCCTCCTCTTTTCACTCAATTTGAAGTGTTATCACCTTCCATTGATAAAACTGAATGCTTTGCTCTTAAATTCTCTTCTAATTCT